TATTATTTGCTTCATAATTCAAAGGAATAAAAAGAATTCAAAAAATTTCTGTTAAGGGTAGTTAGAAAACTATCCTTATTTATAACCGATTTTGATGAAACTTATGATAGTTAAAGACCCTTATGGTATGATTGTTACCTACAATTTTCGTTCTGTTATATTATTCTGAAAGAAAGTTATTTTAAAAAATATCCAAATGATAAGACTCCTTTGGAGGGCCATATCTCAGTAACGGTGCTCCGGAGGACCAATGTTTATAGGAACTTTTTTTAGTACCCTTGGCTCTACTTTCACCTCCTTAAATTTTCTACCAACTTTTCCAAACACCCTCTATAGGTATAGTCTTCGACTGACGTTACCATTTGGAAAAGTTTTAAATCATCGACAAATAATAGTTTTTCATATGATATATAACTGCATAAATCATTAATAAAAGGTAGGAAAAGTTGTGGTTCCAAGTTTGAACCTTGGGGAACCCCCAATGTGGCCACTATATCATGTATAATTTTTCACAAGTTTGTTAATTTCAAATGCCATTTTTTAATGTATAAGATCTGTTTAGAAAATTACCGAACTATATATTTTTAAATTATATTATTAATTCTGTACATTATTGGGGTTTGTCACCTTCAAAGTGCTCTCCCCGCCCCCCTATTCATACACTTTTCCCAGCAGTGTTTCTATTTTGTGAAGCAGACATGGATAGCTTCATTTGAAAATGCCTTTAAGTCTGTGACGAACGTGCTTTGATGTCTTCGATAGCCTGAAAACAGCGTTATTTCAGCACTAATTTTCGGAAATAAGAAAAAAATCGCGGGGAGCCAGGTCTGGCGAGTAAGGAGGGTGAAGGAGGACATTTTTGACTAAAAAGTCATGGTGCATGAACCATGACTTGTTTGGTTATTTTCTGAACAAACCTGGTACAAGCAAATTTAGAACAATAGTTATTTTATCATATGTGGGGCACTCTTAGTTTGGCTGGATTTATGATTCCATCTCTTGCAAAGATGGGGCCTTGTATACGTACATTTTTCAAGTACGCATCTGATAAGAACTTTTTTTTTAAATTCCTGTCGTTTTGACGTAATTCTCTCTGTGCGTAATTGGGCAATTAGTAAATGACATTTTTTCTATTAAAAAATCACGTCATTAAAAAATCCTTAACGCAGTTACGAGATCAATTAATCAGGAGATACGAATCAGTTTTACAGTACAGACAATTTTTTGTTCGAGTTTTAAAGTGACACTTTAAATCACTTCAAAGTTCAAGTGCATTTAGGTATTTTCAGCGTAGAGTTGAATTTGATGGACAAGTCAAAGCATTTTAGGAATTTACGTCTTACTTTATCGAACTCGCTTGCTTCTGAGTAAGATCTGAGGCTTGGAAAAGCATTAATAAAAAATCGTTGCGATAGAAATTATGTTAATCGGTATCTAAATTGTTTACGGAGCACAGCCAATCAAATACTACACTTATGAGTGGAAAGAAGGTCCAATTAATGTTTGAACATTTAGAAAACAAGGCCAAAAGCGTACGTAAGGCAAACAAAGGGAAAAAATCGTCATAAATAAAATGGGATATGTCAGTATAGATCCTACTATATCAACGAAAAGAATTGGAGACGAAATTGGCGCCTCTCTTTCCAGTTCATTCGGTTGACAAAGAAAAATAAGTGTACGTCCTACGTCGAACATAAAACAATTTTTTTTGTAGCTTCCTTAGCAACTTTTATTAAATCCTAACCATAGTAGGTGGTGTACGAAACAATAATAATAATTGTTGTTTCGGTTTGGCCTACTATTATTTTAGCCTTGATACCTCTAAGGATGAGAGGCAGCTTGTAAATTACGATAATTTTGATTAATTTGTTTGGGGTCGGGAGGCTAATTCGCAATCTGTAGCAATTAATTAAAAAGATACCCTAAAATTATAAATCCGCTAATCGCCAGCGACAAAGGAGTCGGCGATGGATGTCCTTTGTGTTTATAGCGTGTCGATAATAAAACTCCGTTGACCCGAAATACGCTTAATAATAATATTCGCACAACTCATCCAAAATGTAGTTAACTGGACGGAAAGTTTTATTTTAATTTTATCTTTTGCCGCATATGTTTGTTGTCTCAAATGATATAAACAAAATTACGGTCCTTCTTTTGACGTGGGAAAAAGATAAATACGTCCTAAAAGTAAAGAAACATCTTGACTTTACGAAATCTATATAATAAACTTTCGGGTAATTGGAAACTTTCCACGGAACTTTATCCCAACACCAGTTTGTTTACTTTTAATTCTGGTGGATATCAATAAACGGTTTTACAGAATTCATCGAAGCCAGTTAACAATAGTTCGTCAATATTTAAGGCGCTATAAAAGTCTAACAATATACAAACACGTCCCCATAAACTATATTTACGAGAGCAAGATAATTGAAAAGTTATTTATTTATGTACGTCTATTAGAATGTAAATCTGTTTGTCTAGCTCTTATTTTATTTTGAAATCTACGGAGCTAGTCGATTTTTACTTAATTTGTGTAAACCAACATTAGAAAAGGAAAGAAAACAATCGATATAAGTTATTTTTTAAAATTGTGAATGCTGTTGTTAATGTACATATTGAGAATGTGTTTTGCTTGAAAATGACTGAAGGTAATTACATTTTCCATTTTCATATTGGTATTAAATTCTTATATTTTTTTATATTACATTCTTATATTTTCATACAGGATAAAACAAAATGAATTATATATTCACACCAACCGATGGGGTTCTGGTATTTTTGTCGCATATAAACAGTAAAGTGACAGGTAGATTTAATTTGTTTTATTAATATCAGTAATATTCGTTGACACTTCAACAAAAGAAATCTTACAAATTTAATGAATGAACTTGAAAAAAATTCTTCAAAATACAGAAATACCTGATATCTGTCTATCTTGGCTATATTTATGCGTTGGTTTCCTTCAAGGGTGATATTATAACAACAAGAATAATAGTTATTTATTGTATAAGTGTTTCAAGTAGCATTTTATCCACGCAAGCATGTTTAAACGCGAGAACGTAGTTCGAGTGTTTAATATTCTTAAGTGGATAAAAGACAATTAAAACACGAATGCAATACAACGTTTTATCCATAGTCACACCACAATCATATTTGTGGAGTCAGAATTATTGGAATTTAATAAAAACATATTCGCACGACTTGATATTTCTTACTAGTTCTCAACGAAACGTGGTAGGTGACAGTCATCTGTTGCGTCTGGGAGGCGCCAGCGTAGAAACCCATGTTTTTAATAACGCGCGAAACCATGAGAAGAGCGTAGAGGTTCCAAAGTAGAATTAAATCAAATTGTTAAATTGAAAGTAATTGGAAAAGAAAGTAACAGATATATGATAAGCTGTTTTTTTGGCGGATTTTCCAAGCTATAAGGATATATTAAATGAGATTGACTAATCCGTCTCGTATTTGCTACACAGATTCTTTTTTTGGCAAAGGTACCCTCAATAGTTGCTTCATTCCTGAATATCGCAAATCCAGAAGGATATACTGGCCATTATATGAGGCGACTTCGATAACTTTATTGGCCAATAAAGGTAGCTGATCTTACTACCATCAAATGGCATGGTGGATGGAAGAGCTCATCTATAGCAGAAAGTTATGTTGATGTGTCTATATCCAACAAATTTAATATTGCAAGGAAAATCCAAGGAAAATAAAGCTGTTCCTTACAAGAAGAGACATCCATAACTTGTGCAAATTCTTCACAAACTTCGGCAGATGTTATGCGTTCCGAAAATGATGGCAACAATGCTACAAGGCTTGTCATTAACGGAAAGGAAGTTAAATGTGATAAAACAAAAAACGAAATGTCTATTACTATAAATGTAAATGATAATGTTAATAAGTAAATAAATTAAATTTAATTTATTATAGGTTTATTATTTTTTCATTGTTCTACTAGTGAAATAAAGTTATTTTATCCCACTAGTGGATAAAGTATCACTTTAGACGGTTCATGTGTGTGGATAAAAATCCAATTATAGGGTGATTGTAAATAAAAGTTATTTCTTTGAAAGATTACAATGTTTTAATAATTTCAGTATGTCAGATGTGTTTTTGATTAACGCAAACGAATGGATCACGTCTGGATTGTTTGTGTCGTACATCCGCTTTTAAAGTTTGGTCAGGCATTTTTGTTAGAACCCGTATAACAAGGATCAACTAAATTAAACACAGTAGTACAATACCTTGAAGATAACCACAGTAAATAGTTGTGATTGTAATGTTTAACAAGAACAGTCTTAAGTGTAGAAATAGTTGTTTCGTTTGATTTTGCACTTGTGTATGTATATTTTACATTACAAAAAATGTGTAATGATAAATACTCTTTGAATAATAACTCGAACAGTATATACAGGGTGTATCCTAAGTCTATAAATTAAGGGGGTGATTCCTTTGGTCATTTTAGGCCCAAAAACCTTAATAAACCAGGGCCCTAAAGTTGCTGGTTTCCAAGATAGAGGGCGTTAATGTTTTTGAAAATATCACATTTTCTCAATTATCTCTGAAGTTGTTTGACGTAGATTGGCGAAACTTAGGGAAATGATGTAACCAATTAAAGGCAATAATTCAGTATATTTTTGTATAAATCTGTCTACCAGTGGCGGATATTCAGGGGGGCTATGTCATTAAAACTCTCAGAAAAACTACGCCACTGTATTTTCAAAAAAATTAATAGGTGCATTTGATTTACTGTTATATCTTTAATAAAAAAAAGGTCTCTTGTATTTTCTTCACACAATAAACCATTTTGTAACTGTATAAGCCCCAGCGAATACAGCGGTATTTACTCTGATACTACTGATATTGCACCACTTGACTTTCAACTAATAGAAAGCAGGGGCGTACTCAGTTAATTCTAATAAAAGTGAAATAAAATTTTAACACATTGTCACGTGAAAGACTACCACTAAATAAATTTTATCAACGTAGTTTCTCACCTAGGTCATTCCGAGAGGTACTGGCAACCCTTCCCCTGGACGCCACTGCGATTATAACATAAGTTACGGTCACTAACGAGATACAAACTACCCTAAGCGCTAAGGCAACACGTTTCTGTCTAGTCCTTAAAAGCATGGCCATCCTCTAACTTACTACGTATCGCGTGTTATCAAAAAATCATAAAACTTGAATCAACACCACGCGCTGGATTTTACAAATAGTCACTTTTGACCTGACGTTGGGCAACTGGTAAATTCCGGTGATAACGACACGACGCCTCGACAGTCTCGAAAGTGAGTAAACTAGTTTAAGAGCGCCGTGTGAATAAATACTCACCCCGTGGATTTTATCAGACACCTAGCAGTGGAAAATTATTGTTGAAAACATAAATAAGTAACCTCACCGCCGGTTTATCTCGTATCGGCGGAAGAGTTTATGAAAATAACGCCGGAGATAGCGTTCGAGAAAGCGAGGCGCATTTTTTTCGAAAAGGCAAAATAGTTCGGCCATGGCGAGGCCTCGCATTATGCGTGCGATCTAGGAAACAAAGATGATAAATGGGGCAGACGCTAAACCTTAGAAAACATTAAAAAGTTGTATTCCAAAGTCAACAAACACATTGTTAAGTACACGCGGTTGTTTGTATTTCTTTGGCGCGTTATCTATTTTAATACTCCGATTTTAATAATAGACGAAAGGTCAGGATCTGTTTGTATTAATACCAGATATATCTCTCCTTCTTGACATTACGAGCACTTAAAGACGACTTGTTTTGGTCTATATACTTCGTTACAATGAGTGAACTCCTTAGAAATAACAAGGCGTACGACTAAATTAAAAAAAATATTGCTCTCAGGAAGATTTTTCTTCATATCAATTATCCTAAATTAGTACATAATCCACATCAATATAGTTTTAAGTCAATATGACTTTAATAGTACATTATACTATAAGGGAGAGAAATGCGTTATTTTGGCAGAGGTGCAATTTGAAGCTCGAGGGCGAAGCCCGAGGGCTACATTGCACCGAGGACAAAATAGCATCTCTCCCGAATAGTATATACTATTTTTTCCACGGTCTCATTAACTTAAAAACACATATTTTGTCATTATGAAGTAAGTAGCACCAGAATTATTGTATTCGGATTTGAGCATTTATTTAGTAGTCGTTGAGTTATTGTCATAACTACAAAATAAACAAACAAAAAGAATTGTCAAATTAAGGTGCTAGTTTGGTTTAGTTTAAAGTTTGTTTAGTGCACAATGAATAATTGTGAGTCGGAAGAGATTGTGAAGGCTGCAAATATTGCAATAAGCAATTTGCTGCCTACGAAGTCAAGATCTTTATACGATATAGCCTACAATCGGTTCAAAAAGTGGTGCGCCGAGAAAAATGTTCAAGTACACAGCGAGAATGTTTTGTTGGCATACTTCAGTGAAAATGCAAAGAATTACAAGTGTTCCACATTATAGGCGCAATATTCTATGGTTAAGTCATGCTTGATAATTTACGACAACATAGATATCAGCAAATTCCCCAAGCTGATCGCATTTTTGAAAAGAACCGGTGACTGATATCAAGCGAAAAAATCGAAAATATTGACAAAGGGTGAAATCGACCGTTTTCTATCAAGTGCAGATGACAAAGAATTCTTAATGATTAAGGTAAGATTACTTTTGTTGTTGGGTATTTCAATTATTAAATATTTTGATTTTTTATAGGTTGGATTAATTCTGGGGATTGCCGGAGCTTGTCGAACTGATGAACTAGTCAATTTAACTGTAGATTATATTGAGGATGCAGGCTCTTCCTTGATTGTAAAAATTTCAAACACTAAGACAAAGATTCCACGAACCTTTGTGGTTGCCGATGTGGAAATATGCTTGAATTGTTTCGAAAATACCTGTCCCTTCGTCCTCTCCACGTCAAGCATAAGGCCTTTTTTTGTACTACAAAGCAGGAAAATGTAGTTCGCAGCCAGTTGGCAAGAATACCATGGGAAAAATTCCGAGTGTAGTAGCTTCGTATTTAAAATAACCTGATGCTGCATGTTATACTGGTCACTGCTTACGAAGATCTTCAGCGACATTACTGGCAGATGCTGGTGTGTATATCACGACAATAAAGAGTTATGCTGGTTGGAAATCAACGACAGTCGCTGAGGGTTATGTCGAGAACTCCATTGAAAATAAGACCAAAATTGCTAATCAGGTTTTAGTAGGTACCACTACTAGCGCAATCACAAAAACTGTAAATGTAAGCGAAAGTAATATTCCTTCTAATATTAATTTTGAAAATTGTACAAATGTAACATTTAATTTAAATGTCAATAAATAATTTCAATGTTATCTTTTTTTTGCATGAAAAACGTTCTCCATAATGTAAACTCCCCTGGGAGCATTATACTCCCTTGGGAATAATCGACTACTTCTGTTTTAATTTTGATGTCATAGAAACTGATTTTTACTCCCGACCGTGGAAAACACAGTTATCTTTTAAAATGTAATAACGCAGTGATAGGAGCTCCGGTAGTCAACATGTCAAAAGCGCGACTCAACTTTTTAACCTGTGTTCTATTCAAGTCCACTATTCGAACCTTAGCAGCTTTGTCCTTTTTAAAAGTCCAAAAGCTTCCTGGCCGACACTTCTCTCAGTTCCTTGGATTCGAAAAAAGGTTTTCCCAGGAACGTCATTCTTCTACGTGCAAATCCTGGGCGTCCACTGAGTCACATCCTTTGCCGATCGGACTGTTTACAACCCTTATATTGTATAGATGTTTCCTAAAGTGACAGTGTCCCATTATAAGTCCCGTCACTTTCCTGAGTAGAATTTTATTCAAGCTCAGCAATTATTCGTTTTTTTTCTGCTACATAAGTTCCTTCGCGTGGCTTTTCCCTGGCCTTGAAGATGTTCTGGCTCAGTGCATTGGCCCAGAGATGTGCCACCGAAGGGCTCCCGACCAATGATCCTCTATTCGAATCTCAAATGGCTTGTGGAAGTGACATCTTGGAACCATTTTGTCGGATACCTTCCCCAGAGTTGGTTCCGACATACAAGTGTCCATAATCCTGGAATAGGGACTACCTCTCCAGTCGTTATTGATCCTGAGTCAGTATGCTGCTAACCATGTTTCTGTTTTCACCACTATATGAAGCCCAAACGGACCAGTCTTTTGATTTTATTCAGTATTTTCCTCGCTGTAGTCTGTCGTGTTTTTTACTACCATACTACAGCGCCATAATAATATCCTAGGTCTTACTATCGATGTAACGAGCGTTCAAATAAAAACATGGTCGAAGTTGGCTCTGACACATTGGACGTAGGGAGTAGCTTATAGCGACCAACTTAACCTCATTTCTCAAAGAGCTGTATAGCAACTGTCAGTTTCAATAACGTCAATGACTATATAACTTTATTTTAAAGAATAATCGTGATAACAATAACAAACAATTAAAGGAGCTGCGGAAAATGTCCCCCTCCTTGTTATAACAATAAATTAAAGCAGCTGCTGAAAGTGTCCCCCTCCTTGTTATAACAATAAATTAAAGCAGCTGCTGAAAGTGTCCCCCTCCTTGTTCCAAGCACTTTTCACGCCTGTTCCTCAAAGAATAAAGACATTTTCTAAGATGCTCGGGGTATTGTTAATTTCACGAATCTTGTCTATAAGTCGAGATTGCAGATGGTTTAAATCAGGAATAGGCAGTTCAAAAATAGTGTTTTTAAGGTAAGGCCACAAAAAGAAATCACACGGCGGTCGATTTTGGAAAACTTCCCTCAACATATTCATCGTCTCGCCTGCCGTATGTGCCCTTGCGCCATCTTGTTGAAAGTAAAAGTTTGTAATTTCGTTTTCTTCCAGCTGGTTAACAAAAGGAGCGATAATTTCTTCTCTATACCTTTGCGCAGTAAGAGTACCATTAAAAAAAATAGGTCCATAAATCCTACGATTGAGAGCACACCAAACTCCAATTTTTTGAGCGTGTAGAGGGCCCTCGACAAAAAAGTTATCTGGTTTTTCAGAAGACCACATTCTCATATTCTGTGAGTTTACGTAACCACTTAAATTAAACCAGGCTTCATCAGAAAAAAAGGTGATATTATGAAGTTCACCGTAGTTGTTTAAAAAACCATTCACAAAATACAGCTCGTCGCGGAAAATCAACTTCATGAAGTTCTTGCCGACAAGTTAAACGATAGGAGAACAAACGCAAATCATTTTTTTAACACTGTGTGGCAGGTACCGACTGATACTCCCACCATTTGTGATAAAACACGTACAGAAGTTCTTGGCGCATTTTCCATTATTTGTTGGACATTTTCTTTTAATTCTTCAGTCCGCTTTTTAGGTCGGCCGCTTCCTTCTTTTCTTGTTACACTGCCCGTTTCACGAAAAACATTAACACAACGCTGAACTGCACTTTGAAAAATTTTGTACTCAACAACGCCGGGAAATTGATTTTGAAATTCTATGAAACATTCCTCAATAGAATAAGTATTCTATTCCATCAATCTTGCTTCCATTTCTAAAGTAGGACGACTCTATGATAAACACTTTTTGTTCTTGAGAAAACACTATTTTAAACGCTTTTTAAAAAGAAAATATTCAAATTGATAGCGGCGATATAGCGCTTTGAAGATGACGTTTAAGTTCATTTGCTATACGCTACGCCCTACGTCCAAATTTTCAGAACCAACTTGACCACGTTTTTATTTGAACGCTCGTTATATGTATACTATTCAGTACGACATCCTTCCCTTCAGTCCCCAGGTTATATCGATAAGGCGAGGACACCCAATGTCTGCTTCGTCTGGGCATTTAACCTACCTGGAAAACCGAATACACCTAATCAGAGAGCCTAGTCAAATTTTTATCTAACTGCTAATTGAACTAATTTCGTATAAAATAATACAACCTAAAAAATTGTCATTGAAGAAAGTACAAAAGTAAATGATGAACATATGCAAAGAATGATTTAAGGCCTGTGCGACGACCTTAACTGGCGTATCAACTAAATGTTTTATTTGCTAAATTTGCAATTAACCAACGCTTTTTTTACTCAACGCAATAATAAATTTATTGTTCAAGTACTATTGAAGACTTTTCAGGCAGAGTTCCCTACACTCTCCTACTGATTGTTTAAATATATATAGACGTCCATACGTAAACAAACACAATTATGTGAACTGTTGCATCACAGGCACAAGAGTTCGATATGAGAAGCAGTCTATATTTACCGAGACAAGTGGTGGAAGGAAAATTACCTCTAGTGCAATTGATGCTTGT